GGAAAGAATGGCCCCAGGTATGAGACTTGTAAAACTGAAACCACAATTGTGCCTGGCTCATCAGCCTGGCATCTTCCTTCCTCTCAGACACCCCTTTATGCAGTGACACAGAGGTATTATCTCAACTACTCTAGATGTAAACCCTGTGATCCTCACTCTCTATATTAGGACTGGTTAAATTTTGAAAAGAATAAAAAAAAAATGTCCCAAGTGTGAAGTCAGATTTGTGGGTAGTTTGGGTCCTAGATACCAAATAAGGTTTTGCAAAGACTCCCATGTTCACAGCACAGTCATCCTTTCCCATATCAGAAAAACAGATAGGTGGATTTGATTGTGTATATGTGCACAATGTATCCATGTAGGTAATAGTCTTTGAGCCTCATTTACATATTCATCAAAGCTCCAGCTACTGAGGGACCAACATCAGGTCAACAGTTGCAACAGTATAAAATATTTCAGTGCAATAGATAACTGCCTTCGAGAAACTACAAGGATGTTCACACAGGGATTATGATAATGCTATTAATTAAAGCCGGCCCTACATGGGATCAATATCCCTATTGCCAAGTTCAGCAATGGTTCACCACACTTAATTTTTCCTCCATGATGCTAGGGCTTTCTTGGTTTGAACGGGCTGCATGGGGAAGGGAGGAGACCCCTCTTCAACAGACACAGCTGAGGAGTACCCACCCCCTCAGTCCTCCAGCATTTGCTCTGTCATTATTAACAGTGCCCCCTCCTCCTTCAAGAAAGGAAGGGGACAGGAAGGGAGGCTTGAGCCGCCCAACCCAGTAAGGGTGGAGAGCTCAGCAGCTGAATCCTTACTCTGGCAACCACACTGAACTTCTAGGTAACCTCAGAAGCCCTTCGAAGCCCTGGAGGCTCTACTCCATAGCCTGGCAATAATTCTGACCACCTCCCAGCAACAGCTGAAAGTGGCAATAAATACAAATGATCATAATAAATAAAAAGCTGTTTGGAGAATGCTGATTAATAGCCATATAAAGGTAAAACCAGTAATTCACCATGCAAGGACATCCTAAAACTAAAGTTAAAAAAAAAAAACAGGTAATCAAATTTGCTTATGCCTAAAACACAAAAGAGATATTTATATGTAATATTCCAGCAATTACTGTAGAGTGGATGCTGAGACCACCTAATCTGTGCCCTGAAGGGAATAAAGAACAAGAATTCACCTTTTTCCCTGAAAAAGAGCAGAGCCTGCCTTTTGCTTTTGAAGTAGATTCATTTTTTTAAAGGCAAGACTTCACAGCTTCACTGTTAGCAAGGCATTTCCTCCCCACTCATCATCGTTTGAACGTGCAATGTGCCTCCATTGGTTCATGTGTTTCAACATTTGGTGTGGCACTATTTTGGGAAGCATGGAGCTTTCTAGAAGTGGAGGCTAGTTGGAGGAAGTAAATCACTGGGTAGCAGTGTTGAGGGTTGTAGCCCAGCACTGATTTTTGCTTCTGGGTCAGGGGCAAATATGAGCAAAGCTCCCTCCACCATAGTCATAGGCAATTGCTACCATCATGCCTTCCCCAGATGGACCATTTTCCCTTCAACTGTGAGCCCAATGAAAGCTTTCCTTCAGTTGCTTTAGCAGGGTGACAAGGAAAGATAACTAATACCCTTCCCAAAGTGAACAAACTTCACTGGTGGTTCTCCAACATAATCATCCCTTTCTCAGGACTTTCCTACAAAACTCTTGTGTCTCACAACTTGAACCATCAATGTTGGGCTTATCAAAAACAATGAGTGAATAAGCAAGGAAGTGATACATGAAAAAATAATAGATTATACTGTTAGGTCAACTGTACTGTTAGGTCAACTATGGGGGCGGGGGGGGGGGGGTAAAAGAAAAAAACAGTGAGTAAAAGGAACCAGTTATCCTATTTTCAACATCTTTTCCAGGTTGCTTTTCCAGATGACTCAGTTCATGATTAACCATTCCCTGCAGTGATGGGAAATGCAGAAAGACCCCACCTTCTCAGGCTTTGGGAGTTCTCAGCAGTTTGTCCACCATGATGGTTCAGGTAGTTTTGAATCAAATTTATGCTAGCTTTTATAACATTTTCCATATTTGCTTTATTTCTGTCTCGAAAGTAAAATCAAGTGCTTTTCTATGAAGGAAAACAATGAAAGTCCTCCTCCCCACTACAGATACCCCTCCCCTCTTGGAAACACTTGGCCAGCTCTGAAGAACAACATCGATGCCCTCAGGAAAATAACAGCACAAATCTTAGAAGTTGTGGGTTCTGAAAGAAAAGTGTGTGAATTGTATGTACTTAGATAAAAGTCATGAAGTCTATACCAAAGCCTCCAGAAACTTAGGGACTAGTTGGAGCAGTAGAAAATACTTCACTGCAATAGATCAATTCATTTGAAATTGTATGGCTATTTATATGAGAATTATAATAATGCTATAAATAAAGCCATCCCTACATTGGGTCTAGAACCATAGTACCTCTCTTCAAATAAAATAAGATGTTTAGGGGGCTGAAGAGACAGATCAGTCTCTTGCAGCTCAGAGTGCTTGCTGCTTTCCCAGAGGATGGGGGAGACAGCTCACAACCACCCCAGAGTCTGATACCCTCCTTCTGGCTTCCATGAATACCTGCCCTCATGTGCACATGCATACACACACACACATACACACACATACACATACATACATACACACACATACACACACACACACACACACACACACACACACACAATCATAAGTATTTAAATGAGCTGTGAAATGTTCTGGGCGCTCACAGGAATGAGATGGACAGGGAAAGAGGGGCTGCTAAGGAAAATTGCAGTGTTCTGTATTCTGTGTGGACAGTTAGAAGGTATTTCTTGTGAAAAGAACATCTAAATTGTAAAAACGGTCCAAAAACGGCAATCGTGGGGATGCTGGAGTGTTGAAACCTGAGAATGGAAGAATGCTAATGACCAGAGGTGATGGACCTGAACAGGGCCATTGCACGGCAGACAATGCCCTTTGCTGTACATACTACTAGCTGATTTCCATTTCTAGACAATTCTGTCCACACCAGTAAAAACAAAAACAACCGATTTGCCCCAGTGCTGCCTACACATGCCTCATTAACCAGACCAGGAGACCCCATCAAAAGTGGGGGGGGGCATAAGAGAGATTTGTTTCATTTGTTTCTAGAATACTTTATAAACCACCTGAAGAGAATGTAAATAGATGTAGCTCAGGAAGTTTTGTTTGCTGACTTTCTCAGGGGAACCAGCAAGCAGTCTTAGAGGGCATGGTCTTATAGCATAGGGTGTCCTATTAATTCTGTAGGCTTTAGCCACTGCACTAAGATTAACACTAAATGCATTATTATTTTTTAAGAGCCAGCAAAATGGCTCAGTGGGCTTGCTCTATGTCCCTGCCAACCTGAGTTGAATCCTCAGAACCACAAGGTAGGAGAGAACCAACTCCACAAAGCTGCTTTCTGACCACACATGTACTGTGGAATGTATACATACATACATGCACACACACACACAGACCTTTGACTGAAACCCAGGTGTTACCTACCCCCTTGGTCCATTGCTTATCTGTTTATTTTATCCATTCCTAATCCACCCTCCAGATTCCTCAAGACTCACTATAAGCAACAGGACTCCCCCTAGAAAGCCTTCTCGAGCATGGCCTGTCATGTGCCAAACACAGTTGTCACACTTTTTCTGTTACCTGCTTGGTTGTGTATCCAGCACTGGGTGTCAAGTCCTAGGTAATAAGAGCCTCAGGCTGTTGAATCTAGAGCACTGATACTACAGTCCACACTGCCTGTACTTGGCCTGGCTCCAGCACATTAGTTGTGTAGTTTAGGCAAGTCCTGTAATAGCTTCATGTCCACAACAGCTGTCTCATTGCTAACAATGGTGACATCAGGTTCTCATAGGGACTGAGTTAATATGTACCAAAATCCTAAACTCTGTTTAAGAATTTGATAACCTCTGGTGTTATTTTCTTCGGATTTGTGTCCCTCCTCATTCTCTGCCTTTTAATTCCCAGTGTCTGGCATGGTGCGTGCCACCTACAAGCATCCAGGGAAGGTTTTTTAGGAATGAATAAATTATCTAATTAATGAAGTTATAAAACTAGCAGACTCAATAAAAGTGCAATGAGATTGCATCTTTTGAGAATATAAATAAGCAAAACACTCCAGTAACAACACATTCCCCAACTGTATTTCACAACAGCAATCAATGCTGAAGAGAACACCCTAAGCTGGTCTATAATCCTGATCTTAGACTGAATAGTCAAAGAAAGATTAAGTTATTTTCAGTATAATTTTCAGGTTGTGTGCCATATTGCCTTCCAAATGCATTAAAAACCTACTAGAATGTTAAAATCAAAATGCTCCAGAGCCCATCATTTCCTAATAAATGATTGTTTTACTATTTAAGGAAAAAAATAATTTCTAAGCATCACAAATGCATACTACATGCTTCCTTGACACTATGCTTAGTCAGCTTGTTTTTCTCTTAAACTTATTATTCTCTTAAACACAAATTATTTTAATTGCATTAATTTTGGAGAAGATGGAATATTTCCTCAACTTCCACTTTGATGGGTGGAAGGGAAATCCATGGAGCCACAGAGGACATGGAAACTAGAGTAACAAAGCCAGGCTCACATGCAAGTGTCAATCAAGAATATCCCTGTTAACCCACTACCCACTTTTAGCACTAAATTTAGGCCAGCCATTTGTTTCCCAGTGTTTGAGCCTCCATTTGTCGTTCCTGTTGATCCAGGCGCATGACTGCTCATCCATTTGAGTCACACCGAAAACCAGGAACGGCTTGACCCATTTTCAGAGGTGCAAAAAGTTAGGTCAGCACCCACGTCCGAGGTGCCAGATCCTCCGTATTAAATATGCATGGGTAGCTGTGAGTGAGAGTGCTCGGACAAACCAATCAATATCTTCCCTGACCTTGAACCAGTTTGTCTGGGAAGGGTGTTTTCATTCACAGCTTCATACCTTCAGTTCTCCAATTGAGGAAAGGAGCCCCGCTCCATACGCCCGCAGTTGACCTTCTTGCTTGCAAAGGCCAAACTCGATTGTGAAGAAATAACACTGGGAGAAAAAAAAATAGTAAGATGGATACATGTTCAGTGAATCAGCCAACGAGTTCCTTCACAGAAAGAAATGGCACCCAAAATATAAAACGTTGCACTGTACATAATCGTCTTACTTTTTTAAATAAATTTAAATCAGGAGTATTTATTGTAATCCATTCTCTTGCTGAGTAACCCTGCTCCAGTTTATATACCTCACTGAACTTCTGTTTAATTTCAGCACATGACTTTCTGCATTTTTACGAGTAATATTTTAAACATTAATCTTTCCCTAAGTTGAAAGAATATGGGAAAATTGTAAATCACTAGGAGTCTTGGAAATCCTGTATTCAGAAACTGTATAGATCAAATCATAGCTCCTGTAATAATTTTTACAATTATAAATTAATGAGTACATCTTAGTGATGCTCCACAAGAATATGGTAATTGCACCTACCAAATTATGTTTCAGGGGCATAAATAAGTTCAAGAAGACATGGGACAATGAGCAGGAATCTAGTCATCTCAAACTTATTTTTTAATTTTTTTACACATCCCAAAGACATTTATTAAGCTGAGGTGATGACTCAGAGGGTAAAGAGCTTCATGAACAATGAGAGACCCTATCTCAAAATCTAAGATGGCCAATAATACAGGAAAACATCCAACATCAACTTCTGGCCTTCACACATGAGCAAGAATGCCCATGCACATAATTACATACAAAACACACCAAAAAATAAATGTGCAAATAAATCTTTAATGGCATTTGTTGAAAACCTACTAGATGCCAATGCTTGGTAAAGAAATGAAAGAGAGACCAAGAATACCAATATATACATACCAATCTGTCAAAACTGCAATGTCAGTCTTTTGTTTTTGGTTTTGGTTTTGGTTTTGGTTTTTTGGTTTTTTCGAGACAGGATTTCTCTGGGTAGCTTTGGAGCCTATCCTGGCACTCACTCTGGAGACCAGGCTGGCCTTGAACTCACAGAGATCCCCCTGCCTCTGCCTCCCGAGTGCATCAGTGTGTTTTTATAGTAAAACCTTAAATGGATACTAATACATGCATAAGTATGTTTTTAAAAGAAAAAAACACAGTTGGGTGGGTTTAGAAGGAGCTGGGAGGAGCTGGGAAAGAGGTGATTGTGATTAAAATACATTGTACAATGATTTTCAAAGAACAAAAGAGAAAAATAAATCTGGGTTCAAGAAATCAACCCAGACAGAAAAAAAAACGTCTGCACAACTAACAAAACTCACAGTGCTGTTGCAAGTGGCTGAAATCACACTGTTTTTTCTCTAATAGAAAAAGTGAGAAGCTAGCAACACATAATAGGAATTGAATCAAATTAGCACTGCCCTGTGTCCGTGGTGCTAGGGCACTGAGGGTGTTGAGGACGAAAATTTAAACACTCCTGAAACGGGGCAGAAAATAATTATAATTTCCAGTCCATGACAGCTTGCTCTATTTTTATCCAAGGGTTGAGATGTCCTTTGATTCCTTTGTTTGCTTTTTAATGCAGGGATAACCTCCTAGGGCGAGTGGTCCCATGCTCTGCATAACTCAGCTGCACCCAAAGCACTGGCCACTTCCAAGCCCATGGAGCTTCACACCTCCAGAAGCAAAGCCTCCTTCCAGATTGTTAACAAAGAGGCTAAAATTATAGTCCATGCCACCAACAACTCATCTGTGATGTCTTCCAATACACTCCTTAACAATGTCCCACCTTGTCTTTCATAGTCTTCTGCTTTTTGACATCTCTTGGGATACTTTTACGCATGATCGCCACATTGAAGTATAAACTCTGCAGCAAGTATTTCTTTCCATTCCTTAAAAGCAATGGAAATTCCAGTACCCATTGACACTTTAGACTACATCATTCACTGTTTCCGGAGGTTGTCCTATGTGCTATAGGATGCTTAGCAGCACTCTAGGTACCAAAAAAAAAAAAAAATCCCCCACCTTCAGGATTTTTAGCAGCTCCATAAAGTGGCCATTCTGCTTGGTTTTGTCATCTTGACACAACCCTTAAACCTATTTCAGAAGATGGACTTTTACTTGAGAAAAATGCCTCCATAAGATTGTCCTGTGGGCAAGTCCATGAGGGCATCTCTTGATTGATGAGTGTTAGTAGCTAGTGTCACTTCTTGGCAGATAGTCTCAGATGCTGTAAGAAAGCAGACCGAGCAAGCCAGGGAGAGCAAGCCAAGTAATCAGAACCTCTCCATGGCCTAGGCATCAGCTCCTGCCTTCAGGTTCCTGCCTTGAGTTCCTAGGCTACCTTTCTTAGAAAATAACTACAAGCTGTAAGATTAAATAAACCCTTTTTCTCTCCAAGTTCCTTTTGGTCATGATGTTTTATTGCAGCAATAGAACCACTAACTAAGACAGTGATTTTTTTATTAAAACTTTTTTTATAAAGAGTTTGAAAATAAACATCACACACTGAAATTAATGAGTCCCAAGGTCTGTTGTCTCAACAAGCTTCTATACAGTTACAATAGCTGTGGAGCTTCTGGATTTTGCACTTTCACTATTGGCTATATTGTTTTAGACAATTTATTTCCTCATGTATTTTATGTGTATGAGTGCTCTGTCTTCATGCACATCAGAAGAGGAATTCAGATCCCATTACAGATGGTTGTGAGCCACTATGTGGTTGCTGGGAGTTGAACTCGGGACCTCTGGAAGAGCAGCCAATGCTCTTAACTGCTGAGTCATCTCTCTAGCCTCCATTACTGACTATATTTTTAAGCCCAGTTCACCAGGAAATTTTAAAAGCTACATCAGAATATGTGTTTTCTAGACCCACCCCCCCCCAAAAGAAAAACCACAGAATGACACCCTGATGCCCCTGGAAATAGAAATGAACAGAAATGACACTGTATTCAGGGCCTCTGGGCTTGCTATTCCCTCTGGCAGTACACTCTTCTCCCTAGGCATTTATACAGTGGTCATTTTCATTTCTCAGTCAAAAGTTGGTTTGCTAAAAGGATTACAAATTAAATGTCAATCTAGTCATAGAGGACTTCCCCAACCACGAAAAGAGTCATGCTTTCTGCTTTGTCTGACATGTTACATCTTGTCCCTGACATTCCTTTATCCATTGACTTTTATTGCTATTGTTGCCTGTGTCACTTGGTAGGCATGAGCTGTGATCAGATGAGAGACTAGCTTCCTTCTGCAGACTCTTAGCATTTAGACCAGAGTCTAGCACAAAATAGTTGCTAGAAATATCTGTAGAGCAGGTGAATGAGTCCATGGATGGACGTCACAGTCTGGAGGGATATAGTCACACAGCTAAGAAGTGGATTCCAGACTGCAACTCGGATTCCTTGGTGGGTTTGTTTTATTTCATAGAAGACATGCAAATCTAACTTATTCATTCTTTCATTGATCCATTCGATATGTATCCAGCAATACTCAGCAAGCTCCTACAGTGTTTCAGAAATTATTGTAAATCAACCAGGGATAATATTGCATCCCTAGGAACATTTTGTTAAAACTGAGTTCTGTCGTCAGTACCATGGGGTGGGGGAGCGACAAAGAGAGGAATATCAGGACATTTGAAGTCACTCTTACCAAGGGCTCCTGAAACCAACAAACCCTCAAGTCTGTCAACCAAACAATTGTGCACAATCCTGGGCACAGTGAGGCAAAATGCTCATATATGCACAGAGAAACCCAGAAAACATGTGCGAACCAAGCCCTTCTAGTTCACAAAACAGAGAACTTAAGCAGTTCAGTGATTTATCCGGGGCCTCGTCTAAGAGGTGACATTCACAAGATCTAGAGCTCTGTGTTTTTCAGAGCTCGACATCAGCATCTGCCATCGTTTAAGGCCTCTAAATAAAAAATTAGCAGGTGTGTGATCTTCCTTTACAACCAAGTAATGGGGAAATTTGAGTCCAAAAGAAGGAACCTGGAAGCTCACAGTGTCTTAGAGTGCCTTTGGTTTGCCTCCCTGATTCGCCTTGGATTTTTAGCTTACCACATAGCATCCATGGAACCCTAATGCTGAACATAGATCACTTTGTAGGGAAATGTATTCAAAGGCATCCAAAACACACATATGGCACCAATGATGGGAGCATGTAGATCAGCTATTAAGTCCACTTTCAATTTCCCCCACACTGCATCACTTGCATCCTTAGTGGGTCACCACAGGTATCATCCAAATCATAACAGGCCAGAGAGCCTCAGAGAAAAAGCTACTCTCCCAGCCACAGCTTCTTCCCCTGGACCTGGCCTTGGTTCTGATTTTGCAGCAAGAATTAAAAGACCTGCTTTGGTTTGACTAAAGACATAAAAGCTGAGTGACAGATTATCCAGTGTATCTTTAGCTAATACACTTGAAGAAGCAATTTGGCCTCCAAGGGAAGTCCCCAAGCATCTCTCTCCGGTGGCTCTAATGTTCTCTGGCCCCTTACCTCATCTGGGAGTCCCTCCAAAGCTCTGCCCTTACACAGCTCCATCTGTTCCTTCTCTGTCTACCTGTCCCTTTTGGCTTCCCTGTGTCCATCAGCAAGAACGCCCCTGGATGTGGCTTCTGCAGCCTGCTGTCCTCACAGAGCCAGACCTTTTGCTCTTGAGACTGGTTTCCATGTTCAGTCCCACATGTGGCTGACAGATAATAAGCAATGGTGAGCCAAAACTCAAAAGTGTTGGCAAATTTTGAATTAGGGACTTGCTCTGGGTACTTCTGTTTTCAACAGTGGTGAGCACTCTGTCAGATCACTGAAGGAGGATCACATGCTGACCATGTGCATCTGATGCCTGGCTTGGTACGAAAAGCCAGCTTCTGGTTGAACTGGATGACCCAACCCTCCACCCCCGAAAATGTCTTAGAGTTCAAGAATAGTTAATTGCTTCTGGAAAGTTTAAGAAAATATTTATTTTCCTCATAGAACTCTCCAGATGTGGTCTGTAATATAGTCCCTTGAGATTTTCCAAACAAATATCCTACCTATTATCAGAAAATAAATATGCAAAAGGTGAAGAAAAAAAAAAAAAAC